CACCAGGATCCGAGCTTGCATGACTGTTACACCATGGAGGTATCTTTTGGAGAGAGGCTATGCACAAAGGGTCATTGGCGACATGTAGAATGCATCTCCACGAGGAATGTGGCACCTTCCACACCACTAAGTTCTTAATCCGTCAAAGCCAGAAAAGCTTTATGCGGTCTTTGACTGCGCTGCCAAGTGCCAAGGTCGGTCCTTAAAGGACACTGCTCTACAGGGGCAGGACTTGATGAATAGACTCATAGGAGTTCTTGCGATTTCGAGAAGGTCAGGTTGCCTTGATGTCAGACATCAAGCAGATGTTTCACCAGGTTGGTGTTGTTTAGAGGCGTAGGGACGTACTTAGGTTCCTTTGGTGGCCAGGTGGTGATGTATCTCAGCTACCAGAGATCTACCGAATGACCGTTCATCCATTCGGTGGGGTTTGGAGCCCGAGCTGTGCCAACTTTGCCCTTCAAAGGACGGCTGTCGACTATGGTGATAAGTTTGACGTTGACGAGACTGTGAAGAGGAACTTCTATGTCGATGATTGCTTGAAGAGTGTCAGGTCGGAGGAAGAAGCAATCAAAACATTTGAACAACTGACAAAATTGCTGGCATGTGGAGGGCTCCGCTTGACAAAGTGGTGAAGCAACTCCAGAAAGGTTCTGGAAGCCATTCTTCAGCAGGAGAGATCAAAGACTCTTAGAGGCGTAGACCTGGACCGAGAATCACTACCGGCAGACCGAGCTCTTGGAATCCACCGGGATGCTGAAGATGACACCCTGGGAATCAGTTTGCGTCCGAAGCTCAGAAGTCATACTCGGCGAGGTCTACTAAGTATCATGTGCTCGGTCTACGATCCACTCGGGTTTTTGTGCCCCTATATCCTTCGAGCAAAGTTACTCTTCCAGAGAGAATGCAGGATCGCCAAAATGGTTGGGATGAGCCCCTGGAAAGTGCAACCCGAGATCATTGATAAAGTGGCAAGGCGGCCTCGAACGACTATCCAAGTTTCAGAAAGACAGACACTTTGTTCCGATGGACTTGAATGTGAGCAAGAATGTGAGCTGCATCACTTCTCGGATGCATCCAAGGATGTGTATGGATGAGTGTTCTCTGCCCGCTTTGTCAGTTCGACTGGCAAGGTCCACTGCAGTTTTGTTATGGGTAAGTCGCGTCTAGCACCTCTGAAGGCAATGACTATCCAAAGCCTTGAGCTGTCTGCGGCTGTGCTTGCTGCTCAGCAGGGCGTCATGCACAGGAAAGAGATTGATCAGGATATTGGTAAATCCACATTCTGGACAAACATTATGCTTGTCCTGCAGTATATCAGGAACCAAACGAAGCATTTCCACACCTCGGCCGATCGAGTGACAACAATCCATGAGGCATCATCACCTGAGCAATGACGTTACGTAAGCACGGATCTCAATTCGGCCGACGACGCTTTCAGGGGGCTCGATGCAGACTGCCTGTTGTCGTCAGATAAATGGAGAAATAGACCTAGATTTCTTTGGCAAAGCGAAAGTCAATAGCCCATGGAACCAGAAGTGACAAATCTACTTGACAAGGATCGAGAAGTGAAACGGGCGACAACCTCTCAAGCTGGTGCTGCCAAGAATGCCAATTCAATTGATGAGCTTATGCATAGGTATTCCTGCTGGCTCAGTCTTCGTAAGGCCATGGCATGGACCCTCCGTTTCAAGAATTGGTTGACAAATGGCAAGCCAGTTTGCGACCCATTCCGGCTGACGGTTCGGGAGCTCAAGGCAGCTGAGCTGGCTATCCTGAAGCATGTCCAACATACGAGTTTCCCTCAAGAAATAAAGGATTTGCAGAAGGGCTGTACAGCTGTGAGAAGACAGAGTGCCATTTACAATCTGAGACCTTATCTAGACGATGATGGTATTCTGAGGGTAGGCGGTAGGCTACG